AATTTGATTCGGGTCGCGACCAATTCAGGTCGCGACCAGAGTCGCGGAACAAATTAAGTTCGTGAACCGAGGTACCACTGTAATTGCTATACAGTAACTATAAGGTGCCACAAATTTCATTACTGAGTAGTTTTCTTCAAAGGGGCGAATGGCAGCTACTTGCTTGCTCAGACGGGAACACGCTTAGGCTCTTTCCATCCAGGTCACGATAGCCCCCATCTTGGGGGGGCGGGTTCTGCATTACCATAAGGATGTCTCTGCCAGAGCATGTTTGGTTTGTTTCAGAGAAAACCTGGTGGGAGCCAATCCACTGTTCTGATCTCACACCATTTGGATCTAGTAGCTCCTAATACAGGATTGACTTTACATGTGCCTTGCATCTAGATTTTTCTTTTTCTTAAAAAAGGGAAGCCGTTTGGAAGACAGCCGCCCTAGTCCTTGCTTGAAAGAATGGAACCCTTAGACTGGTCCAAAAGGCACGTAAGATTTAGACCGACCTTTTGCTCAATGCTTCTCTCTAGTGACTGGATTCTCATCTGTTCTTTGCGCAAACTGGCCTGGAGGGCAACCACTTCTGTTTTGGCCTTGCTTCTCACTTGGGCAATCTCTTCATTTGCTCTGCATGAAAAAGCATCCACACACATTAGCGCATTAAAGGGTTTTCTTCCAGCTTTAAAGCACTATAAGCCTATGGATGACCATGACGCTTGACTCACTGATGCAACTTTTCTTCTGCATGTGCCTTCAGGGCTTGATATCTCTGTTCTTCCTTCTTAATTCTTTCAAGGTAATCTTCAACACATTTCTTCAGAGCTTCTTCGTTCTAAAGAATGAGAACAAGACATTTTTATTTCACCTCATAGAACAAGTTCCCACTTTCATTGTTTTCTTCTTGAAAGCAAAACCACTGCTTATTCATCGCAGAAAACAACATTCTGGAATTCTCTTACAAATGGAATATTGTACATTTGTTCTTTTTGACAAAAATGTAAAAAAGATTAGCTTGAGACCTTGAATGCTGGCTGTATTAGTAAGGACTTTAATTTCAAAATATAAGAGGAAAGAGGAAAGTAGGGTGCTGGAAGCAACTGGAAGGTTTCCATTTCTTTTCTTCCTGACTCCTTTCACCAACACTGTCACCACCATCACTCAACTATTGGTAATTAGATCCTTAGAAATTCTTGTGTGGATATTTAAGGTAGCACTGTTTAGCAGTGTTTCTCAACCTTGGGAACTTTA